TGGGAAAGCACTAGAGCAGTCTGAATGCATGACAGGACAAGAAACTACGTCAGTGGATGAAATCAAAGCGAGGCTTCTAAGACAAATACCATTGTTAATGAGTCAGACTACCCTAAAAGACACATTTTAAAAAGCCATCAGATAGAATGCCTTCCTATTTCTAGGGGACACACTTTCTTTTCCGTCAACTGCTTCCAATATTTATCACCTAAAAAAATTAACATGCAGCGTACAGTAACCTTTTACTGAAACGCAGGAGTGGAGGTGGGAACTGAAAAGCTGCTGTTGATGGTTGTAGCTGTTGTCTCCCAGCTGGTACAGGATTTCTGGTGCTGCTGCTGTACTGATGAATTTTTCACTTTGCTAATAGTGTGTCCTAATTTTTACTTATAGTACTTGTGTTTGTATGAGTGCAGGAAAATGATTGCTTATCAGTAGCTCATAAACTATGAGTCAGGCGTGATGTTGATGTCAAACAACTACTGATTGTCCACATGGGTGACTGACATAGGGATACCTTTGCTTTCTGATGGTTCAGTGGACACAAACTTAGTTTCATGCACATAATTATTGACTGTATTATATACAATTACTTTAAGTCAGCCAGGTATGGTGGCTCATGGCTATAATCCCAGAACTTTGGGAGGCTGAGGCGGGTGGATCACAAGGTCAAGAGATCAAGACCAACCTGGTCAACATGGTGAAATTCTGTCTCTACGAAAATACAAAAATTAGCTGCGCATGGTGGCCTGCACCTCTAGTCCCAGCTACTTCAGAGGCTGAGGCAGCAGTATTGCTTTAACCCAGGAGGCAGAGGTTGCAGTGAGCCGAGATCATGCCATTGCATTCCAGCCTGGGTAACAAGAGCAAAACTCTGTCTAAAAAAAAAAAAAAAAAAGAATTACTTTAAGTCTATGCATATGTGATGTCTATAAAAATAAATTACATGTTTTATAATATCCCCAACATATCTCACTATGTAGATGCAATTACTTCAAAATCTGAGAAAAATTCAAAATCAGAAACAGTTTTGGTCCAAAGCGTTTCATAATACCATAGGTGTTTGACCTATGGTACTATGCTCTTGGATTGTATGAGACAGAAAGTTTGAGAGGTAACAGTAGAGTAGCTTGTCCCTTTTCATAATTCCCGGGACCTTATCTAGAGTACAAGATGTTGAGGACTGTAGTGATCTTGAGGCTGGGGATTGACAGTTATTTATTAGCTGAGAAACTACAAACGGTGTTAGCCAAAGCCTAGAAGAATACCGGGACAAATAGGTGATCTGATAGGTAAGAAATCATATTTCAGTGCAGTTTTAATTTGCATGTGTTTAATTATATGCAAGGTTGATAATCATTTTTATGTGCAACAATAAATTTTTCTTTAAATTATTTATATCTTTTGCTGTTTTTCTTGCTTAGAACTTGTTCTTTTCTTTCATTATTTTTGGAATCTATGTATTGGACATATTAACTCTATCAGTGATATCATTTGAAAATACATTTTTCTGGCTGGGCCTGGTGGCTCATGCCTGTAATCCCAGCACTTTGGGAGGCCGAGGTGGGCGGATCACCTGAGGTCAGGAATTTGAGACCAGCCTGGCCAGCATAGAGAAACTACATCTCCACTGAAAAAAAAAAAAAAAAAAAAATTAGCCTGGCAAGATAGCAGTTGCCTGTAATCCCAGCTACTCAGGAACCTGAGGCAAGGGAATTGCTTAGAAATTGGGGAGGGGGAGGTTGCAGTGAGCCCAGATTGCACCGTTGCACTCCAGCCTGGGTCACAGATCAGGAATTCATCTCAATAAAATAAAATAAAATAGAAAATACATTTTTCTTATTTATTATCTGTCTTTTTCACACAAAACATTTTCATTTTTATTTCCTCAAAATTACCACTCCCTTTACATTCACTGAAGTTTAATCATAACTAGAATAATTTTTCCCACTCCCAGTAAAATAATTTATCCATGTTTATGTTAGATAACTTTTTCTATGTGACAAAAACACAAATTTGAGTGTCTTTGCACGTTAGTAAATTTTTTTCTGTAAAGAGCCCAGATGTAAATATTTTAGACTTTGAGAGCTATGTGTTTTCTGTTGTGAAAACACATAGGGGTCTGTCGTAGTCTCCTGATCCCTGTCCTACTCCTACATCTTGGTTTTCAGATAGGAAATCTGCCATTTTGCAGAGGTTATTGTGACAATTTGCTTTTCAGATAAAAGGGTGCAGAAATCTGAGCCATGAGCAATGGGGAACATTGACATAGAATTACACTCAGGGGCCAGGCACGGTGGCTCACACCTGTAATCCCGGCACTTTGGGAGACTGAGGCGGGTGGATCACGAGGTCAAGAGATCGAGACCATCCTGGTCAACATGGTGAAACTCCGTCTCTACTAAAAATACAAAAAATTAGCTGGGCACGGTGGCACGTGCCTGTAATCTCAGCTACTCAGGAGGCTGAGGCAGGAGAATTGCCTGAAACCAGGAGGCGGAGGTTGCAGTGAGCCGAGATTGCGCCATTGCACTGCAGCCTGGATAACAAAAGCGAAACTCCAGCTCAAAAAAAAAAAAAGAATTATGCTCAGGAAGCAGAGTTGTACAATGAACTAAGAACCCTCCCTGGGAGGTGCAGAGGCCAACGAGCTGGGAAGTCGATCAGTGCCTGAGGAATAAGATCAAGGTCTTCTGCATAAAAGGACAAAAGATTCTTAAATAATGAATAATGTAGAATAATAGAATTAGAAAGATATATTGAAAGATTGTGGCAATGCTTCTTAGAAATAAATTCAATTTAAATAGTAAATATATCAAGAATTAAAAAAAAATATTTCTGATCCCAAGCAGTCCAGGGAAATTGACTTTAAATTGATCATACTAAAAGTAAAATTATTACTATAAATCCAATGTTGAGTATACTTTGGCATAAAGCAAAGTTAACCATATATATACATAAGCTAACAATGAAAGGAAAAACTGCTATGTGTTAATCTTGTAGTGAATTGTAAATAAATTTGAAACTACAAAATTTTAATAAAAAATTTAAGAAATTAAAAACATGTTTTTAATATGTTGGGGTGAACATTTTCAGATTTATTACAGAAATGTGAATTTGGAAAGAGACATTTCTGGCATATGTTCTGAAAATTAATAATATTTTAGGAAAGAAGGCTGCATTATAAATCATGTAAATAAGGCATAATTCCAGATTATTTCACACAGGAAATGAGTCTGAATTTTATTTTGGAAGAGGTGTAGAAAACTGAATACTTATCCTGAATTCTGTACTTGAGTTCAAAAAGCCTAACTAGTTACTTCTAAATGCAACTAATGCATTCAGAAATGATATCCCTCTCTGCAAAATTTTAAACAATTTTTATGATGTAAGATCTCTGTCTACATCTCTTTAGTGATTTTGCATTTCGGTGTGTGTGTGTGTGTGTGTGTGTGTGTGTGTGTGCTGAAAAAGAGGGAGGAGGAGAAAGAATGAGGGTTATATCTTTTTTCTTGATAAGCTGCGATTTCTGCACTGGGATTCTAAGTCTAGTAGTTGTTCTGTAGATTTCTGTAATGGTACTTGTATTTTCTCAACTAGAGATGATGCCCAGATGCTCTTACAAGCTGAGAATTGACCCAGTTAAATTCCGTAGTCAGTAATAACACTTACACTCTGATTATTATAACTTATGATCCATGCACAGTCATTACATTTCAGTTTATACGATAATCTTGGTGCTAATGGGAGATATTTCAGTTAACATAATTTTTCTCTTCCAGGTTGAAAAAGTTACTAGCACCAAGCTTTATTTTGGTTATTCAGTGATGAAGGTTCCCCAACTGTGACTCACTCTGAGCTCTTTGGTTGAGTATATTATCTGGCAGGAAAAACAAATCCTGAAGTTCCTGCTGAGGCATGCTTGTCAGCTGATTCGCCAAAGTTATATTCCTTCTGTAAAGTACGTCAGGAACCCAAAATAGGAGACAGAGTTTAGGTGTGTTACATGCACATTTGTCAAATGCATTGATCTACTTTCTCAAATGGATTTCTGTTTGAAGTGAATATGAAATAATAGAAATGATTTTAATAAAAATTTCATCAAAAATAAATGTTACACATGAAAAACAATTCTGTTGCAATTCTTGTAATAATGCTATATTGCTAAAGCATTATTTTAGTATTGTCTTTAGTGTCTACCCAGTGATGGGCTGAAGCTAATGACACCATCTCAAGAGGCAGTCATGCACATCTTTTCCCAACTCTGTGTTTGCTGATACTCCACATAGACAGCTTACAATTGGCATATCATAAAATTGGCAAACACTAAAAATCAGTGTTTCCCACCTCTGGAGAGCCTAGTGTTAAATATTTACCACCACAGCATACTACTGGGTCTACTCACTATTGTTTTTCTCTTCTTTTTTTAAAGTTTAATTATTTAATGTCCTTTCCTGTCTCCCCTCAGCCCTTGGCAATCACTATGCTGCTCTGTACTTCCATGAGCTCAAATTTTTAGATTCCACATATAAGTGAGACCATGCAGTATTTGTCTTTCTGTGCCTGGCTTATTTTATTTAGTATAATGAAATAATAAATAGCCATGTTATTGCAAATAAGAATTTTTTATGGCTTAATAGGCTTCTATTTTATATAAATAAACGGCATGTATATATGCCACATTTATTAATACATTCATCCACTGATTGAGAATTAGGTTATTTCTGTAGCTTTGCTATTGTGGACAGTGTTTCAGTAAAGATAGAAGTGCAGATAACTCTTCACAACAGCAATTTCATTTCCTTTGGATATATACCAAGAGAAGAATTGCTGGGTCACATGGTAGTTCTATTTTTAATGTTTTGAGAAACCTTCATAGTGTTTTTGGTAATGGCTCTACTAATCTACATCCCCACCAATAGTGTGTAAGCATTCCCTTATCTCCATGTCCCTGCTAACACTTGTTTGCTTTTTGTTAATAATCATTCTAACAAGTGTGAGGTGATATCTCACTGTGGTTTTATTTTGCATTTCCCAGATGATTACTGATGTTGAACATTTTTTCATATATTTCTTGGCCATTTAGATGTCTTCTTTGAGAAATGTCTATTTGAGTTCTTTCACCATTTTTAACGTTGGGTTATTTGGTTTTGTTTTTCATTATTAAATTGCTTAAGTTCCTTATATATTTTGGTTGTTAATTTCTTACCAAATGTATCATTTGCAAATACTTTCTTCTGTTCTATAAATTGCGTGTTCACTCTGTTGATTATTTCTTTGCTGTGCATAAGCTTTTTAGTTTAATGCAATCCCATTTGTTGGTGTATGCTTTTGTTGCCTTTGCTTCTGGGCTGATAACAAAAAAAATCATTGGCTAGAACAATGACAGGAAGGTTTTCCCTTCTGTTTTCTTCCTGTAGTTTTACAGTTTCAGGTTTAAACTTAAGTCTTTAATTCACTTTGAGTTGAATTTTTGCATACAGTATGAGGTGTCCAATATCATTCTTTTTGCACATGGATGTCTAACTGTCTCAACACTATTCACTGGAGAGACTATTCTTTCTGCATTGTGTGTTCTTGACATCTTTGTCAAAGATCAGTTGATAGTACTTTTGTAGATTTATTTCTGGGCTCTCTGTTCTGTTTGTTGGTCTGTACATCTGTAATCATGCCAATACTATGCTGTTGTAATTTACTATAGCTTTGTAGTATATTTTGAAATCTGGTAGTGTGATGCCTCCAGCTCTGTTCTTTTAGCTCAGGATAACTTTGGCTATTTTGGGTCTTTTGTTGTTTCATCTGGCAGTTGATCATATTTACCCACAGTTTTGTTCTTTCTTATGTTCTTCTTTCTTTCTGAATTTCCAAATTTAAAAAAAATCATTTTCTGTTTGTTTCAAAACTTCCTTTAGCTATTCGTTTAGGGTACATCCTCCAGTCACAAATTCACTACTTTTAATTTATCTGAGAATGTATCTTTCTTTTTATCCTATAGGGTATTTTATCTAGATATAGAATTCTGGATTGCCCTTTTTTCTTTTGGCATTTGAAAAATTTTGCATCACTTCCTTCAAATGTTCATGATTTCTGATTCAAAATTAACAGTCATTTGAATTGCCCACCCCCCTTTCATTGGTAAGGTGCAGTTTCTCTCTCACTGCTTTCAAGATTTTTCTCTTTGTCATTAGTTTTCTGAAGTTTAATTATGATAAGTCTTGATGAGGATTTCTTTGTTTATCCAGTTTGTGTTTGCTCAACTTCTCAAATATCTAGGTTTTGGTCTTTTTTTACAAAGTTGTGACATTTTCAACACCATTCTCTTCCTTCTCTTCTTCTGAGACTTGAGTGATAAAAATGTTAAATCTTTTGAGAATTTCAACTTGCTGAAATTCTACCTATTTCTTATTTAAGTCTGTTTTCTCTCAAGTTGGCTGTTTTCCATTGTTTTGTCTTTAAGTTCACTTATTTTTTCCACCACCCTCTTCCTTCTACTATTAAGCCTATTCATTAAGATTTTTGAGTATAATATTTTTAGTTCTAAAATATTCATTTGCTTCTTATTTATATCTTCTATTTCCTTCCTGATTCTTTGTAATTTTTGCTGAGATTTTTATTTCCTTCAAACATGTTCATAATTGCATATTGAAGCATTTTTTTAATGTAGCTGCTTTAATGTTCTTTGTAGATCATTCTAGTACCTGTGTTATCTCAGTGCTATCATCTGTTGATTGCCCTCTCTCATTTTAGTATTGTCCCGCTTCATAGTATAATGAGTAATGCTTCATTGTATTCTGGAATTTTAGGGTATGATGAAAAGCTGGATCTTATGTAAATCTTGTCTTTTCGCAGGTCTAGGATACTTCATCAGCAGGAGAAAGGAACCCTCTTTTTTTATTACCAGGTGGAGGAGATTAAAACCCAGGTTTCTCACCCAGTCTCTTTTGACAGCAAAGAAAGAATACCTTATTACTGCTGGTATTTCAGGCTCCACACTAGACCTCCACTGATACTATCCTTGCTGGGAGGAGGAGGAAGGTCTCATTATTGCTCCCTGTGTTACCACTGCTGAAATAATAGTGTGCAGGTTCATTATGCTGTGTGGTGGTAGAAATCCTGAATCTCCTCTGTGCCTCCTCTGACACCCCCAGTGAGGAAACAATGCTTTGTTAGTATTGGCTGAAGTAAAATCTAAGTTTCCCCCATATTCTCCATTGACAAGGGAGAGGCTAATTATACCCAGCAGGGTTAAGTGCCCTGATCCCAGTTCACACTCATCCTTTTCTGACATATGCACAAAGGAGCTAGGGAGTTAGATGTGTTGACAAGATTCTCTGCTTCACCAAACTTTACTGAGGCTCCTGAACCTTCTCCTCAGTCTGTATGTGCAGGCCCTTGTAAAATAGAGTTTTAGTAAAAACCTAAATTTTGCTAGAAAGAAACCTCTGTCCTAGATATCTGATCATCTTTCATATCTGATTCAGTGTCTCATCCTCCTCTATCCTCTCAGTGATGTGAGCCCTGTGAGGTAGGTTTGGCCAGAATCCTTCTTACTCCTGATGTCTCCTCTTAGTAATTTTCCATCCACTGACCCCACTCTTCTCCTTGGCTCTAAATTGTGATTTTCCCATGCAATAGGATCATGCTATGGTCCTGAATTCAGTCTTCCTAACCATCTTAATAATAACAAGTTTTATTAAATATTGTTTTGTTTTTAACAGTGTCTTGTTACAAGCTCACATCTTCCTGGTGGAGATGGAAGGTAGGAGTCTAGGCTCCCCACTCAGCTTTTGCTCATAGAGGTGGGAATGGGATCACAACAGTGGTATTCCCTGGAATAGGGCAATTGTTATCTAAAATGCTATGTCTTTCTTGGCTGCGCCTTTCTTGGTCATTAAGCTATAGAGAGCAGGCTTTTCATCAGCTTTTTTGACTGATGTCCTTTGGCATTTCTAGGTTGTTGACTTCTCCATCACTAAGTCTGAGATAAATAAACCTGAAAAGAAAATTCAGGCGAGTTATTGTAATGCCATTCCTTGGTTCCAAGAGTCCCTAGAAGCCTGACTTCTGTCTAACTGTCAGAGTCTTCTTGAATGTGTATTATATGTGATTTCCAGGATTGTTAGCTGTACCTACTAGATGAATAAGGAAAAGTGTTTCTAATTCTTCTTGTCTGGAACCATTGTCATCCCACATTTAAATATTCTTAATGTCAAATCCAGGTCATTTGCAGGCAGTTTTGTTGCACATGCGTGCATGTGAAAAGATAAAAGATGTATCAGATTTAAGTCTTATGTGTAATCACAGAGAGCAAAGTGGATGATACTATTCTATAAAACATGAGCCAGTATAGAATTTGAAAATACTGTGATCCATGTTCATTATTTGCTCAGAAAGTATCTCTGATGCAATCTCAAATACCAGTTTCCCAAACTGTTTTCAAATGTGACAGAATTACTTGAAAAATATCATTATTTCTTAATTTCATTTAAAAAAATGTAATATTCATTTACATGTTTAGGTTATCTACTTTTTAAAATATTGTTAATCTCATGACTTTAAAATCTCTATAAAGCAATTTATCTTCTCTTTTTCTTGGAGTCCACCTTTACAAATCCACAGCTTTTTGATGACCTTCTCAAATACCTTTATTGCCTTAAGACACGAGTATTTTGTCATGGGATAACTTATCCTAAATCTTTATTATAAAAGAGAAGGTGATATCCTCACAACTGTCTTAGCCATTAGTTACTGGGAGGTAGCACATTAAGGGATGAAGGTTGTGAGTTCTTGAGTCATAGTGACTCAACGTCCCCCACACTATATGAGTGACCTTGAGCAGTTCCCTCAAACTTTCCACACCTCAGTTTCTCATCTGAGAAATTAGGATAAAAACACTCCCAGTAAATTATAATCTATTTACATAGGTAATATGTGTAATCCTTAGGCAAGTGATTGGTGTCTAAAAAACACTCAGCACAGAACTAGCTATTAAACATTAATGAGTAATGATATTATCATTCTAATATATCAGATAGATTTTACATTACCTACCTAGGTTAATTTTTTTATTCAAATACTTAAAATTGTGCTCCCATCAAATGAAGACAGATTATCAGAGATTAGTATATCATGGAATCTATTATTTTTATGTTTTTTCTTTTTTAATTTGATAGTGTGTCCTAAAACAAAAAATACAAATATAAATGTAAAAATGTAAATGGATTACTATGATTATTTGTTTTTAACATTCTATAACAAAATAGGCACATTTATTGGTTTCTTCTTAAGGGCTCGGAGTTCTTCTACATGGTTTTTATGGTACTATTATCTCCCATGTGCAAATTAGGAAGCTGGGGCACAGAGAATATAAAACATGGTAAAAAGCCAAACAGTTATTATGAAATGGAGTCAGATAAAGTAAAGTCAGACAATAATACTGACTCTTCTTGAGCACTACAACAAATTTTCTTGAATGTATTTCTGGTAGAATCTTAAATCCTTTTAAAAAATATTTAAATCAGGAAAGAAAAATGTATATGTATATGTGTGTGAATTCTAATAATTACTCTATCATACTACAAAATATGATCTTTTAGTTTGTTTTATTTTGGTTTTGAGACAGGGTTTTGCTCCGTCACCTTGGCTGAAGTGCAGTGACATGATCATGGCTCATTAAAGCCTACGTCTCCCAGGCTCAAGTGATCCTCCAACTTCAGCCTCCCGAGTAGCTGGGACTACAGGTGCATGCCACTGTTCACAGCTAATTTTTATTTATTTATTTTTATTTTATATTTATTTTGGAGACATAAGGTCTTACTATTGCCCAGGCTGGTCTTGAACTCGGACTCCAGCAATCCTCTTTCCTCAGCCTACCAAGTGCCAGGATTACAGGCAAGAGCCACCACACCCAGCCATATATGATTCTTTTACACTGGTATAAAACACAAAAAGTGTGAGAAATCAACACAAATAAAGCTCATTAAACACATTTAATATGTCAGCACAAAAGAAACCTAGAAAAAATTGTCATAATTGAGACTCATTTTCACTCTCATTAATGTGATTCCCCAAAAGTGATTAAAATGTTTACATAACACTGAGAAAGATAATTAACTTTTTAATTTTTATTTCTTGCATTTTTGTGATTTTCTTTTCAACTTAACATCACAGTTGACACAGACCAAAATTATGCTATGAATGTTTTCAAAGGTATTTCTTCTCCTTTCCTAAACATGAGAGGATAAAAACATTATTTTACACTGAGTAACTGACTCAGGGGTGTGCTGTAAGGTCTGACGGTGCCATGGACAGTACCGTGACCCTGCGACCCGCACATACATACACCTCTGGAGGGCCTTTCGGAATTAGAAAACCTGAAGTAAAAGCAGAAAAACAATCGACCCCTGCGGTGCCTAACTAACCTGAGACTTTTTTTATTGTTTCTTCTTCAGGCCTCAATGGACAAGGCCATTGGAATTTGCAACCGACATTGGTCAACCTCATGACTCCACACCCTACAGCCCCCTCCCAGCTTGCAAAAAAAACACCTTACACGGTAACTTCTATAACTTTTCACTGTTTACCCCAAACCTATAAAACCAACTTCTATCCCTCTGCCCTCCACTGCCTCTCTTTTCAGATTCAGCCTACCACACCCAAGTGAATAAACAGCCATGTTGCTCACACAAAGGCTTTTTGGTGGGGGGTGGGGGGGGGTCTCTTCATTCAGAGATCGTGCATTTTATCGTTCTACTACAAGGACACATGCACACGAATGTTCATTGCAGCACTGTTTACAATAGCAAAGACCTGTAATCAACCCAAATGCCCACTGATGATAGACTGGACAGGGAATATGTGGCACATATACACCGTGGAATATTATGCAGCAATCAAAAATGATGAGTTCCTGTCCTTTGTAGGGACATGGATGAACCTGGAGAACATCATTCTCAGCAATCTGACACAAGAACGGAAAATGAAATACCACATGTTCTCACTCATAGGCGGTGTTGAACAATGAGAACACATGGACAAAGGGAGGGGAGCACTACACACTGGGGTCTGTTGGAGGGAATAGGGGAGGGACAGCAGGGGGTGGGGAGTTGGGGAGAGATAGCATGGGGAGAAATGCCAGATATAGGTGAAGGGGAGGAAGGCAGCAAATTACACTGCCACGTGTGTACTTTTGCAACTATCTTGCATGTTCTTCACATGTAACCCAAAACCTAAAATGCAATTAAAAAAAAAAGACAGTGCCTATCTTGCAAATCTCTAGTTGTATGTCCAGAATCTTTTAGGACAAGAGGCCATTAGTGGCAATTTGGGGCTTAGAAAGGAAGAATTAGCCACAATAATAATTATTATAATTTTGCTGTACACTTTTAAAAAATATACCCAAAGTAGACATATATATATGTTTATATATACAGATATTTAGATAGAGACAGAGAGAGAGAATTTTTAATTATACCTAAAAATAGTGTTTTTATTTAATTCTAACTTGGAAACCTAGAGAGACTTCAACAAATACTGTTTTGTTTCATGGCAAATAATACAATTTTTTTCTTAAGTTTAACATGTAAACATCCTTGAAAATGTAGCTTCAATGAAAACAAATTTTTGATGAAAATTTACACAGCAGCCTTTTGGGATTTTTTTTCACTTTCACTTATGTGTAACTAAGTATATTTAAGATAAATAATTCAGTATCCATGACAATGGTAAAGTAATTCATTAAACTGACAGTGTACCATAATTGTGTTATTATCAGAAAAATCATCAGCTATTTCCTTATATCAGGTTATTGTACTTCTCACAGTTTTCACATAGTATATGTTGAACTATTCTCCCATGATCTGAGAAGTGTCTGTGACATTTTATTATTTAAATAACTTTCATCACAACATTTTATGAACTTATATCAATCTATAATATCAGCAGCACAAAGACATGTTTTGACTTGTGCTGATTTATGTAAAATGATTTAGTTAAATTGTCTCATTTAAAAGTCAAGATGTTTTTATTTAGTTAGAAGATTCTTTGAATTGCATTTTATATTTTGGGAAAGTTAGGACATTTACAGAGTTTACATTTTTTCTGTTCTGACTTTATTGTGTATGTATTAGATACTAGACATAATACTGAGTTTTAAAAATCATCAAAATGTGAGGAAAAAATTACATAGAGAGTTATGAGAATTCAATTCATAATGCGATGACCATGTTGATTCTGCCATTAATACAGAAGTAATGGGAGGAAAAAAGCCAAGAGGAATATTTAAAAGATTGAAATATATAATTTTTTAAATGATGATGCAGATGGTCAAGTGGCCTAATCCAACACTTTGGTTTTATAAATAGAAAACCTGGTATTGGACATGGTTCACCAAGGTCATTGTGTTCCTAGCAAATTCTCTTTTTGAAATTGTTTGGCTCTGTTAGATGCTAGTTCAATTTGTCATTCCTCTTATGCCTTGACAACGTCTATACTACACAGCAAGAAATTGTTGTATGTCACTGGATTTTTGGGAATGAACTTGGCCCAAACCAGACTTTTTGGGAAAAATAAAATAATAAAATAGTTTTATACCCTGCCTTGTTTCTAGGCAAAAGTGGTAACAGGGAGATGAGTTAGCAGTTTGACACAGAAGTACAGGTGTGAGGAGACACTGGCTTAGATGAGGGTGGTAGAGGTGGCGTGGAAAGGAGATGAGTTTGAAATATGATCTTGAGGTAGATTTGCTGACAAGATCAGACTGAGGTACTTGGGAAATGAGGAATCACGGATGGTCCTAGGTTTCCAGCTTCTAGCATGAACAACTGGTATAATTTAATGAGAAGGGTACTATTTATGGCAGTGGAGCAGTTTTGGCAAGAGGAAGAGTTTAATTTTACTAATGATAGGTTTAAAAGTATATGCAATTTAGTACTAAAATGGAGAAATCACTTCAGTAATTGGATTAGCCTGAAGCACAGAGAAATGGTTTATCTA